AAACCAGCTGATCACATGCTCAAGAAGGACCATCAGCCTAACAATGGCTCATTAGCACACTGATGGCTGTTTACTGTTCAACAAGGGCTGAGTGAGTGAGCCATCAGTGTGCTAATGATCCATTGTTAGGCTGATGGTCCTTCTTGAGCATGTGATCAGCTGGTTTTGGTTGTCAGCAGCAAACTGGTTGATCCACTCTGAGAAGGTGCTATTTAAGAGACTGAGCTGAAAACAGCACCTCAGACTGAGGAAGTCTCTTGGATGAGAGACGAAACGTTTCTATATTTTTTTGCTTTGTTTTGTTTTTTGTTTTTTTGAATGTCCAGAGGACTAGATTGAACTTTTTTGGATTTTTCTACCTGGATTATTGAGCATGCATCAGGATATCTTAAAACCTACTTTCACACGTTTGCTGCAGTTCATGTGATTGTTACTTCAAAACCTTCTACATTGTCTTGTATTTAATTTGCTTATGCCCAAACATTAAATCTATGGTGGCCAAGGCCACCTTTGACCACCCCGTGGCTCCAACATTGTTCCTGGTGATGGATACATTTATGCCCTTCGCTTTCAAGTATTGGCCTTGCTGCACCGCCTCAGTCCAGCAAATTAAAAAAACAACCTCTCTTCTTCTCCACAGTGTAACTCCTTCCTACTTGAATATATTCCAACAAAATGGTGTACCACAAGGCTCAGTCTTAGGACCCACTCTATTTACTTTTCCTTTTAAATGTGTTGTATGACTGTTTATTGTTTTCTGTACCTCATCTGTGTTTTTTTATTTATTTTTAAACAGGTCTCTCTTGAAAATGAGTCCTCGTGACTTAATGCGACTAACATGTATAAATAAAGGTCGAATGGAAAATATAATTAAGGTTTACTTGCATTTACTGTTCAATCCCACTCCATAAAAACACTTATCTTGACAACTACAAACATTCACTATTCAAATCGCTCAGTGATGGGAGACATCAGCGTACCGCTTGTTAAAACTGTATTGCCTAAAAACAAAAGGGCCATGAAATGTTTTGGTGTGTGTGTGTGTGTTGTTGTTGTGTTGTGTTGTTTAGCTGTTTTCTCTTCAATCTGATCAGAATTAAACTCAGAGTGAGGTTGTTTAAAGAGCTGTTACAACAGGTAAGACATTAATTGTGCATAACTTTTCCACAGAACCCAACTTTAATAGATGTGAATGATCCTTTCTTATCTATCCTAACATTCTTTCTATTTCTCAAGAATGTGAATAACACTCCAACATTTATGGTGGTGAAATTGATTAAACATAATATAGTAATCTGTTTTTTGTTTTATGCTTTGTCTGTAGGATTACAGGGCAGGTCTTTGTATCACTGAGGTGGACCTGACTGCTGCCAACATTAGAGACGTGGATCGCAAGAGCTTTGAATTCAACACACCCTTCAAAAATTTCTGGTTTGTCTGCTCTTTATTTGTGCACAACATAAAACTGAGTGTTCTGTACTTGTAAATATCTTCCTTTTTGTTTGTAATTACTGTTCTTAGTATCTAACATGCTTCTTTCTTTTCATTTTTCTTCATGCTAAGTCTAGAAAACTCCTCTTCAGTGCAGACCCAGTGATATTTTTTTAATCAGGCTTACAGTCTTATCCGAACACAGCTGTTCAGATTTCACTGTATGAAGCAACAGGATATCAAAATGTCCTTATTTCTTAGAATATCTTCCCACATTTCAAATTGTACCTTTGCACATGATTTACACACGTAGTTTTGTACATTTTGTGTATTTTTACATGAAAAAGCCAGACCTATAGCAACAACTGTAGGTATAGATGAGCGTTTTGCTCTTATTTTTCCAACAAATGCGTAATTTTCTCAAATGCAGTAGCAGTTTTTGTTTATGTACATAAGACAAAGGTGGATGTTGTTCCAGATGTACAGTCTGATAATTGTTTGAATTCTTCTAAATCATTCACACTATTTTTCTTCTGTCTGTTTATGGCACGTTACTCGTTCTGCAATTTTAGTTCTATTTCAACAATTCTTATATGAAAGCATTCGGCTCATTCAGGACATTCCTGCTTTGGCTTGTGGTATTTGTGCAATTTTTGCTTTTTGTAATATTTAACTTTTTCAGCCATGTTTTTCTCATTGGAAATGAACAGAGCTATCTTCTTATCCTTCAAACTCTTTGTGCTGTTAAAAACATTTTACTGCTCATTTCGGCTTTGGTTCTGATTCAGCTTTTTTCAGCTTCTTTGTGTTAATTTCACCTCTGTTCACCCCTTTCAGCTTTTTTCTGCCGACTTAATTTTACAACCATTACAGCATTCTTTATTAGTTTATTTGTTGCAAATTTTAGTCTTTTTTTTGTTGTTTCTGCATTTTGTGCTTCTTTTAATAATTTCAGCTTTGTATGCTCCTTCCAGCCTCTCTTTGCCTATTTCAGTATTTTCTGCTCTATTCTGCTTTTTTCTACACATTTCTGCCATTTTTCTGCTGCTTTTCACTTTTATTTTCCTGCTTTCAGCAAATGTCAGCTGTCAAATTCAACTCGCGTTAACAGTTTAGCGATGAAACTTTTTCAGCAGCTTTCAGCAAAAATCTTTGAGCAGTAAACATTCACACTGCATTTTCACAGGAAATGCAATTTCTTTAGTGTTGCATTAAAGTTAGGGAGAGCTGTTTTTAGTGTTTCAGACTTGTTTTGTGGAAAAAGATTTGCATCAGGCTGTGTTATGTTATTTAATTTATGCCTCAGTTTCAGCTGATGTAAAACCAATAGGTTATGCACAATGACCACAATCTCACACACTGCTTAAAAAAAGAAGCGATTATAAGAAATGACAGAAATATAGCTGTTTTGGTCAAATTTTTAAAATGGGATTATGCGCGATTGCACCCGACATCTCACCAGATGTGTTAGTGTTGTAAACCCATGCGCTTAAGATGACTCTCAGCCACGGTCACATGAAACTTTAGCTCAATATTAGTCTGTTTGGCCATGTTAGAGCCGTATTTATGTTGGCTAATGTTGATTAGTTGTGGTGACTAGGCCTGTCACGATAACTAATTTTGCTGGGCAATTAATTATCTCAGAAATTATTGCAATAAACGATAATATTGTTTGAAATTTGACGATTAATAACTTTTGTCTTTTTTAAGAAGAAATGTATGTTTTGTGTGTAGTACATTTTTTGACCACCGGATGGTAGTATAAGACTGCTTGAACCAAAGGATGGATAGTGAGGGAGCGAACAGTGTGTCTCTTTAAGAAAAATGGGAGGGAGGACCATTGACATGACATGGGTCTCTATCTCTGTTCGGTTCTCAAAATGGCGGACGCTCGGTGTGGTTTGAGCTTTTTAGCGTAGCATTTTTCACACAAAGCTTTTAATTAAAAAAATCAGTAAACAAGTTCTCAACTGCTTTTTACAGAGAAAAACAACTTTTTACACGAAGGCACGGGTTTCAACCGTGAATTTTGGAGCTTCGACAAGACGGAGTTTTTTTTCCCCCCTCGAGATCGCCCTGTTAGCTTAGCTCGTAGCTTAGCTTCTCAGCTTAGCTGCTTTTAACGATCCAGAAACACGATTTTGAATGTTTAAAATGGATTTTAAAGAGGAAAGCGAACGGGAGGTGTCAGTGAAGAGCACTGAGTTGAGCCTTTTGTCATCCAGTGTCTTCAGTAGAAAGAGACACGAAGAAACGATAAAGCCGATAAATGAAAATGAGGTCGATAATTTTCATTTATCATGTTATTAAATGATTATTGTTTATTGCGACAGGCCTAGTGGTGACCATCCAAAATTTGCTTATTTTTAAAACATAATCAGTTGTAGATACGCATCCAACAATTAATGTCTTGATTGTTTTACTAAAATCTTTAGTTTGCTTGTTTATTAGAAATGTTGCTAACAGACATAAACGAATGAAAACAGACACAGACAAATACATTATAACCTGTTTTTGTTATGGCAGAGAGTGATACATAAAACAAAGTAGCTTAGCAAAAAAATGTATATATATTTTTTAAATTATTCAAGTACTGAACTTAAAACGAGTCAAAAAGCTGCCAAACTAAAGAAAAACATCAGTAACTACTGATCAAAACATTTTCGAAACTACAAGAAAGCCTGGCTGCTTGGAAGTAAAGTATTAAGAACCGAAGAATGACTCGAGACTTTTTCCCTTTCCCGTTCCACTTTGTTTGCACCACTTGACCTTTACTGTACACTCCTTGTTTTCTTCATTATAAGTCTGAATCTGAATGCAACAATTTATCGATTTACTCCTGAACATGTGAGCAGAGTGAAAGAATCATTAAAAGATCAATCCAGTCACAACAATGTAAACAGCAGTACTCCATATTTTGTCCTTTGAAAGTGGGGGAAAAAAAAAAGGTAAAAATAATGACCAACCATGTCAGAAAAGTTTAGACGCCGCTACCTTGTGAGACAAAGGAGAATCCTAAGTTTGCTTTTCCTTTATCGATTAGCTCTCCTGTCAAATCGCTTTCAGAAAACACCTTGCGAGTCAGCGTAGCCCATCAGACAACTCACACTTATTGATCAGTGCACCGTTCGCAGGACATGACAACGGTGTCCTGTACAAAAACCACTAATTATTGATTGGGGTTGTTTTTTTCCAAGCGTCCTCAGGGAGTTTTGTGTCGGTGTCTCTGCGTCTGTAGGGCTCAAATCCTTTCAGGTGGCTTCTATCCCTGAGGGTCCACAATCAATGAGCACTCAGCGTGTTTGTGCTGTAATGGCCCGTTTAGAATACAAGCATGACAGCTAACACCCTACCCCCCCCCAAAAAAAAGCTCTGGTCGTTTTTTTTTTTTTTTGCGCTTGTTCACGTTTTCTTTTTGCCATGTGTAAAGATTTTGTTTTCTTCCCCCTCGTGCTCTTAGCCGTGTGTTTGGTGTCCCATCGATCCGTTTGTGGCAGCTCCCTTTAATGGTCCCATCGTTCGGCTGCTTCGTTAACAAACCAGTTGTAATTGCGCCAAAAGACAGAGGGAGGGGAAAAAAAAAAAATCCAACGAGCTCCCGGCTTCGGAATAGTTTTGATAAGGTCATCGCTAAAAGGGTTTTATTCTGAGAGTGTTTGTGGATCAAATCGATTGGCGGCCCTGGGAGCGTTCTCCAACCTGCTCAAGGTGGGGATTAGCGAGAAACTCATCTAATCACTTTAAGCTGTGGAGACTCACTTTGGCTTTTCCATTGTTTTGCTAGCATTAAATGGACGGAGCGCTCAGTCCGTCGTGCTGGAGACAATAGCTGGCTTTTATGAGTACAGAGAATGACAATGAGGCTCAGACGAGATGGAAAATGTACAAAGCAAAGACGTTCGACTTTGGAGGAAAAGGAAAACTTTGTGCTCCTGTTCAGACAGCCCTGCTACTAAAGGAGAGCTGCAGATGAACGCCCAACTCCAGGGTATCGAGGGGAGAAATACCATAGGTTTATCTGGTTTTTGCATTTTGCTGATGTGTGATGATATGTTTGGACAGTTCTTGAACTTCTTCTGAAGACTATGGATAATGTTTGAGGGGAAAAATTGACAGTAAGATATTTGTATTATCCTAAATGGATAGTGACTTGTCCCAAAAAATCAAACAAACAAAACTTACCATTGAAACTCTCTAATTTACACACACACACACACACACATTGATAATTTGGATAAACCCACCCTTTAATAGATACTTTTAAATTTTTAGTCAAATTTAAATATTTCAAACTGCTTGAACGGCAAAAGACAAAGCATAGATTAGAACAGGGGTCTGCAACCTTTTTGATCAAAAGAGCCATTTCTGCCCCTTTGCACACTAAATAAAATGTCTATGGAGCCGCAAAACCTTCTAAAACTGTGATTATCAACTGGTCATCCATGGCCCACTTCAAACCTGTTGGAGGGGGCTTTTCTAGCCAGTAGGTGTGATATAGAAAAATATCAAATTATGATTAATATTTTTATATTTTAGGGCAAAATAAAGACTGGATTTATGTAAAGCAGACATAAATATGTAATTTTTTTTTACCAGTTTTCTAAAAATTCAAACACAAGTATGCAGGCTTATGTGATTTTCCTTTTTTAATTGTGGAAACGATTCATAAAGTATACTATTATGAAGTAATAACGTTAAAAATTAGTCCAGCTTGTTGGGTACATAATATAATTTGTAAAATGAAAATAAATACTTCCATTTACTTTGACTTTATTTTTTTCTTAAACTTTTATTATCAAGTTCACTCACTATATTTCTTCTCAGCAACTTGCCTTGAAGGTATTCCCAACAAAACATTTGGTGGATTTGAGAAAAAGATCACGCCATAAGACTGGAAGTGAGCTAAAATAAGCGACTAACAAACTACTAGAATGATGTAGTCAACAAGTTTTACTCCTTGTGTTAGTACTACCATTCACATGTTGGCAAAATAAATGACC